AACAAAGTCCAGTGAGAGAAGTGTGAGATATACACAATATATTGTAAAAATAGTGATGCCATTTTTACATTGAAGTGAAGAAGGAACTTCACTGGAAATGCTTCTTACCAATATCCTCATTGCTGTAGGCCAAAATTAGACTTTCTGGTCTCTTCAGGTAAATCAAATGAACTATTTGGGGATTTTTTTTTTTTTTAAAATAACCATGACCAGTATGAACAATGGACTAGAAGGGAGTAAGAACGGACATGATTAGGAGGACCCAGCACAGCACCCCAATGCAGAGTGAATAACTAACACCAGAGGGACAGCTGTACTTGCACCCAGGAAGTGCGTCCCCTTACCTCATCCAAAACAAAAAGAGGGTTCAAAGACTGTTGAGCCCTGACCGAGCACTTTATCCCCTCCCCTTCCCTTAGGAAAGGCCATGAAAGGCGATGAAGAAAAATGGAAACGTACCCTCAGTATTTCCGACTGGAGAGAGAAGAAACATTTCTCACATTCTGTTTATCTGTAAGGCCTGCCATTTCTATCCTCAAAATATACCACAAATCTACCCCCATATCTACCTCTGTCATCTCCACCTTAGGCCAAAACCCTTTCCTTTCTCATTTGGATTATTGTAATTCAGTCCTCAGCTGTCTAAAATTCAGAGAAGAGGGTGTATGAAGGCTTATGTAGTCTCCAAGTAGATTAGAAGCCCTATCCAGTAAAGCATTTGCCTAGGACTTAAGAGAGAATGCTTCCTTATTTCCATTTGGCAATTTAACACTTCTGTATGCCCCAACAGTCAGAACCCTGGAAGGAAGAGTTGAGTCATACTTTGAACCCCAGTCCAGCAGATGTTTGAATCTGAATTTCAGAGTACATGACTCTGAAAAGTGCTCCCTTTTTTCCTGTTATATGCAATAACTTAGTATTAAGTTGGAGCCCAGATGACATGTCCTGCAACTGACAAGCACCTTCTCATCTTATCACATCATTATAACTTTTTCCTCTACCCATAATATATCAGCTTGATAATGTATGTAGAGTTATCCACTGTTACATAAATAATTGCCCCAAAGCTTTGTGGATTAAAAAAATAAATAAATATGTATGATTTTACAGTTTTTATAGCAGTAATTCAGGAACAGCTTAGCTAGCTGCCTCTGACGTAAGGGACTTTCATAAGGTTTTAGTCAGGATGTTGGCCTGGGGCCACTGTCATCTGAAGGCTTGACTGGAGCTTGAGGATCTTCTTCCAAAATGATGTCCTCACATGGCAAGTATATGCAGCCTGTTGAAGGGCTCAGTTTCTCACCACATACACTTCTTCCTAGGGATATTTGAGTGTCTACTCTATATAGCACCTGGCTTTATTTGAAGCTAATAATTCAAGGGAGATCAAAGTGAAAGCCACAGTGTCTTTTATAACCTAGTCTTAGAACCCACACGCCATCACTCAGTCTATTTATTAATAGTAAATTACTCAGTCTGGCCCCTACATAAGGTGAGGAGAATTAGACTCCATCTTTTGAAGACAGGAGAGTTAAAATCTCCACCATGTCTCTTCTGTTTTTGAATTCTGGCCTCTATTCCCCAATTCAACCTTCTTGCCAATTCCAAATCTCTTCCCTTTTCTCATCTCCAAACATATGCACATACTAACTTTATTTAACAGATTTTAAAAATTTCTTTCTGGTATCAGAATCAGTTTTGGCTGTAGCAGCAGCAAACTACAAAATAGTGGTAGCTTAAATCACAGTAGAGGTTTATTTCTATCATGCATGGAAAACATTTGTAGGTAGGCAGTCCAAGGCTGGTCTGGTGAAACTGTTATAGTTTATGACCTTCATTCTCATGGTTCAAGATATCTGCTAGGGTTCTAGTTGCCAAAGGTGAAACCCAGGAAGCAGAGTAGAGAGATACAAAAAAAGTTAAAAGTGTGTGCTAGCAGTTGTTTAAGGTTTCCTAGAAACCTTACTGTACAACACATTGCCTCCCGCTCAGCAGTCACCACTTAGTTACATGCAAATGTATGACAGGTAATATGGAAGCATAAGAGGTACAAGCTAATACGCTGAATGTTGTCTTCATTTGCAGGTATGTGATGGTTAATTTTAGGTATCAATTTGACTAGATTAATGGGTACCTAGATAGCTAGGAAAGCATTAATTCCGAGTGAGGATGTGTCCAGAGCAAATTGGTGCATGAGTTGATAAACTGAGTGGGGAAGATTTGTCCTCAATGTGGGCAGGCACCATCAAATTGGCTGGGGGCCAAGATAGAACAAATAGACAGAGGAAAGACAATTAATGCTTTCTCTTCTGGAGCTGAGACACCCTTCTTCTCCTGCCCTTGGACATCAAAACTTCAGGTCCTCAGGCCTTTGACCTCAAACTGAGAGTTATACCACTGGCTTCCCTAGTTTGGAGGCTTTTGGACTTTTACTGAGTCGGCATCCCTTAGTCTCCAACTTACAGACAGCCTATTGTGGGACTTCTCTGCTGCCATAATCATATGAGCCAATTTCCCTAATAAATCCCCTGTCATCTATCTATTATCTGTCTATCTCTATTATTATTTCTGTCTCTCTAGAGAACCCTAATAAAAAGTGATTATATGTCCAGCTAAAAATCAGGGGGTTTCTTGCTAAGGAAGAAGTGGAGAATATTGGCCATGGCTACGTATATATTTTTGGCTACCTGGACATATCAGCACCTTTTTCCTATATAGGGTGCTGTGTGTTCTCACTGTATGGAATTTGGTTTTCCTCAGAGCTGATGATCCAAGAAAAGCCAAGAACATGTTTGCAGAGAACACATTTACTCTTTCTCCAAGGAAAAAAACTTCAAGATCTTCCTGAATTCCTGCTCCATGTTCAGGATCTCTCCATCATATGCAGTCCCTTCCTTGGGGTCATGTGTACCTTCTTGTGGTCTGTCAGCAGATACATTAAAAAACATACATGGATATGGAAACAGGACACCAGAGTAAAAACTCCTATTTGAGAAAGGGGAGAAGGAGAAACTGGTAGTGGTCACTGGTCCATATCAACGATAAAATACCTCTGAGCAGAAAGTACAAGCTCCCTCTCCTAGTAAAGGAGTGCATTCTTTGCTTAGCTATTTGGTAGTCCTCAGTTAAGCTCTTGCCCATTGTACTTTGTGGTTCTTATCTCTGGTTTCTAGGACGTGCATTATATTACATGGCTGTATGAGAAGGGGCCATGGGGCAGAAGCCCATTTGTGGTGGTTGCCATTGCAGAAGCTCTCTTCCTGCTAGGGTGAATATGGGGACCCAGAAATTGTTTTAGGAGCTTGATGGTCACAGGCAAGGATTGAAATTTCTTTTGAAGAACAATTTTCTTAAAATTTAGTAATCTTCTGGTCTATTTGCTTTCAGTTAGTTCCACGTATATTAATAGCCAGAGATCATGATGTCTAGACAATTTTTAAGCCTGAGACACTTTAGTATGATGTACTTCTTGGGAGAAAAGCTGAGTGTTGGGAGAGAAGCTGAGGCAGGGCTTGCATGTCTGACATAATGTAAAGTCTTAGAACATGTCTGGGGTCCAGGGCCTAAAACCCTTTGTGGCCTTTGGAACATCAAGCTCTGCTAAAGTGTAGAAGGCTACCCTGACACACCATAATCTAAGCCCAGGGCATAAAACTCCTCATGGCTTGGATAGAATCCAGGGCTTATGGCTTCTGGAATGTGTCTAGACTTGCTGGCTCTTTTCTCCTTGATCTCCCAGGATTGATTGTATCTTGAGTTGAAAGAACCTGCTCTCCACTATCTCAAGTAGTAGAGCAGATGCTAAACCATCACAGCTGTAAATCATGTGCTTAATGCAATGCTCCCTTTCAACCCCACATCCTCACCACCTGTTTCTTCACCAATCAATAATCTGAGCTTCCAGAGCTTGAAGCCTTTGCAGCCTCCATACTTAGCGTTGGCCCCCTGGACCCACTTTCTCTCTCAAACTGTCTTTTCTCATTCCTTTGACTCTGCTGGACTTCATCACCCCTACGACCTGGTGTTGGGTCCAATCACCCCAACAGTATTGGCATCTAGGTTCTGCCTATTCTTCCCTATACCAAGCTCAAACACCCTATCCCTCCAAAAAGTGTTGGCTATCTTGAGACATTTAAAAATAATAGGCAAAAATCACAATCTGATCTTTGTCAGTGGACTAAGTTCTATTGACTGACAGTTGCTTAATGGAAAGTATTTCAGAAAGACTAGGGGCCTAGGGCACTTTAATTGGATTAGTGACCCAAATTTTTGCCCCTCTAAGTATACTCTTTGCCCTAACATATTGCAGTGTTCTCCTACTCTTGAGGGAGCATTCTGCCCAATAGCATACTGGTAAATGTTTCTTAAAAAACTACTTTGTATATTATGTTATAAATTTTATTGAAAATATGTGTAGCACACATTGACAAATAAGAAAATATGCAATACTCTTTACTGTAAGTTCCATATAGCCAATTGATTCTTATCGAATGTTTTATTTGACTGTCACTAAATTTTCTTATCCATAGCCAATCTACAGTTGTAGTTCATGAGCAAGTGTAGTTCTGACATGAATGTTCATTGATATTCTCATAGTAAGAGGAAAGTGAAACAATAAAGAGTTAGTTGAAACTTCAGTTGTTTGTAAATGAGGTGACATCTTTGCAGAATTAGATAATAGTTTTCAAAAAACATTTCCTCATTTTTTTTTGTATTTGCAATGTAATGGCCGCAGATACAACATGCTTTTAAGTTTAATCTGCATTAATGTTTTCTCTACCACTTTCTTAAGCCAGACAATTAACAAATCAACAAGCAACACTTCATTTGTAGCTTCTATCAATTTCTATGGTACAAACACTCCAACAGTGACTGATTTCAAGCTGCTGGTTTGACACAACTGAAGCATGCGGTAGTGTTTCTACCAGAGACACTAGAAACAAACACCTTAAGAGGACAGACGATAGTAAAATGTAATAAAATAACTAGAAAGTCATGAGTTTTGAGTACCTATTGTCTTTGTTTTAATGTACATTATTTGATTGCAAGTACATAATTTAATATTACACAATGGCTGTGTTAGCAATCAGCTTGCCAAATTCCTGAAAATTAAAGAGTAGACCCGTGGGCTGGTATGAGTTGCTTCCTAACACCACAGGTTCTGCCCACCCCTTCACCTTAGGCTTGGAAAAGTGGTTGCGTATTATTCTTTCTGGCTTGCTCTTATGCTGTAAACATAGGAACATTTCTGGGCTGACCAGCTGAAGGATGAGACAGTGGAGAGCTGAGTAGTCCGCCTGTCTCAATCAAGACCATCCTAGATTAGTAGAGCAGCTGATCCTAGACATGTGCGAGATCCCAGCCAGGATAAGAAGAGCTAGACCCTGCAGCTGACTGGGTACAGGTGAGCCCAGCCAAGACCAGTAGAAATACTCACCTAACCCGCAGATTCATGAGCTAAACAAATGTTTATTTTTTGAAATCACTGGGTTGTAGGGTGTGTGTACATGTGTGTATATACACACACATATAAATATATACACATATATATATACACATACATACACACATATATGCTATATATGATGGTTAACATAGTTTCATCCCATAAGATTACCTCCTTGCAGTCACTGCTGGTAACTACTTCAGGGGTATATGAGCACTTGTATTCTTTACTCTTTCAAAGCTCAAATACAGGACCTAGTCAAACTTGACTGCAGGCCACAGACAGAGTACTTCCTTAGTACGGCTGTGTTTCCTTCCAAGTGTACCTGTAGACTTGCTTAATCTAGCCTCAGTTTGTCCTTCTTTTAAGATTGGCAAGAAGGGGTTACAAAACATGAACATTTCGGATTTTCCTTACTATTTCCCCAATCCTACATTCTCATCATTTGCCTCCCAAGACACAGCACATGAAAATGTGATCCATTGTTTTGCCATCACCTAATAAAGACCAACAGCTTTCTAGCCTCAACAAAACCTGCAGCACCTACTGCTTGACTGTCTTCAACAAAGCAATGCCACATTTAAAATTTTTAAACATTTACCTTCCCAGTCCAAGTACCATGCTTTGTGTTACTTGTAGTATCTCTCTCTCTCTCTCTCTCACACACACACACACACACACACACACACACACACACACACACACAGAGGTAGGTAGTCCAGGGCTGGTATTGTCGTTCCACATCTAGAATCCCGCTTTCAGGTCCACCATCCCTGAGGAGTGGCTCTCATCTTCATAAACTAAAATGGCTGCTAGGGTGTTAGCCATCACATTTGCATTCCAGGCAGAAAAATGGAGAAAGAGGAAAAAGAAGGCAAAAGGCAATGTTCTTACTATCTTTAATAGAATAGCTTCCTAACACTGCCACAGAAGATACCTGCTTGTATCTCACTGTTGAAAGTTCAGTCATACGGCCACAATCTCAAGGAAAATTGGGGTACTTTAATCTTTATTGAGGGCAGTCATGTGCTCAGCTAAAAACCAGGGGTTCTATTACTAAGAAAGAGAGAATACAACTGCCCCCCACCCCAAAACAATTCAATACAAATACAAATAAACAATACAGTGTAACAACTATTTTCGTAGCATTTACACTACACTCATTATTATAAGTAATCTAGAGATGATTTGAAGTATATGGGAAGATGTGCAAAGGTTATATGCAAACACCGTAACAGTTTATATAAATGACCTGAACACCTGCAGATTTTGGTATTCCTGAGAGTTCTTGGAACCAATCCCCCTCAGATATTTGGTAGAGAACTAGTTGTCTCTGCCTAGTCTCCATTCTGGTCACTTCTTTAGTTTCCTAATTTCAGAGTAAGGCCAGTCTCCTTCTGTGATGGTTGTGTCAACTTGAGTGAACTAAGGGATGCACAGATACCTGGTAAAACGTTATTTCCACGTGTGTTGGTGAGGGTGTTTCTGGAAGTGATTGACATTTCTATTGGTAGACTGAGTAAAGAAGATCCACCCTCACCAATGTGGATGGGCATCAGTCCATTCAGTGCCCCATAGGAAACACAAAGGCAGAGGAAGGACAAAATCAGTCTCTGTGCTTATTCTGGGACATCTATTTTCTCCTGCTCTTGGATATTAGTACACTCGGTTCTCTGGCCATTGGACTTGACTGAATTACACCTCCAGCTTTCCTGATTCTCCAGCTTGCAGATGGCAGATCGTGGGACTTCTGAGCCTCCATAATCATATGAGCCAATTCCTACAATAAATCTCTCTGTCTCTCTCATTCTGTTTCTCTGGCAAACTCCAATATTCCCTCCTAGGGACAGGAATTTTATTACTCTGATACCTTATGTCTACTATTCATGGATATTTCTTATAGCTTTGATTTTCTTGCAGTGTATATCCCAGGTAAATATCTTTCTCTGCTTTTGGAGTCCCCTTTCCTCCCCTTATTCTTGTTAACTTTTGGCTTGGATTGCATTTTATATGAAGTAGGCCTTACCAAAAAATTTGAAAAATGTCTGTCAGTGAGGAAAGGATAGGTCCAGTGTATAACTTAACAGATGCTATGAGGCAGAATTCTTTTTTTTTTTTTTTTTTTTTTTTGAGACAGAGTCTCGCTCCATCGTCCAGGCTGGAATGCAGTGGCACCTCCTTGTTTCACTGCAACTTCTGCCTCCCGGGTTCAAGTGATTCTCTTGCCTCAGTCTCCCGAGTAGCTGGGATTGCAGGTGCGTACCACCATGCCCAGCTAATTTTGGTATTTTTAGTAGAGATGGGGTTTTTGCCATGTTGGCCAGGCTGGTCTTGAACTCCTGGCCTTGTGTGATCTGCCCACCTTGGCCTCCCAAAGTACTGGGATGTCAGGTGTGAGCCACTGTGCCCAGTCAGAATTCTTTTTTATTTTGATAGCTTTGACTGCTTTGATAGTTCTTCATCAAGGAAACTGTTCAAAATGAAAAACAGAACATGTCTTATAGGAGGAATCTAAGTCCAATATTAGTGAAGACGATAAGGAGAATTTCTTCCTAGAAATAATGTATTTCTATCTTCAGCACAAGAGGAATGAATTCCACAGTGCTAATAGAAACTGTTAATAGTGTAATATAAATTACAAACAATACAACAAAAATGAAAGCAAAACAGACTCCACAGGAGTATATCAGAAATAAAAAAGAAATTCCTTAAATCCTCAAGCCACCATGCTTGACACAAATTTATACTTTTTTTTTTTTTGAGATGGAGTTTTGCTCTTGTTGCCCAGACTAGAGTGCAATGGCACAATCTCGGCTCACTGCACCCTCTGCCTCTGGGATTCAAGCAATTCTCCTGCCTCAGCCTCCTGAATAGCTGGGATTACAGGCGTGCTCCACCATGCCCAGCTAATTTTGTATTTTTAGTAGAGATGGGTTTATACATTTTTAAAAGATACTGATGCAGATGATTTGTGAGCATTTTGATGAGAAAGTGGTGATTAGAAGGATACAGCATAAATTTAATTGTAAATATGCTTATCTAGCTAACCTAATCTGTTTCTGTAGAATTACTGGCATGGGAAATTGGATAGATGCCTAATGTATCTCAATTTTAAGTAATGTGAGCAAGTCTTTAAGGTATAACCAATGATAAAATGGAGAAACATGACCACATGATGATTAATTAGATGGATTTGTAGGTGGTTGAAATTGTATCCAAGCATAGCAATCTGGCCTCTGTCTACTCTTCAACAGCATCAATAATCTTTCCACATCCCTCTGCTCCAACCATACTGAATTATTTGCAGTTCTCTAAAAACATCATATTCTTAAACCCCAGGGCTTTTGTACATACTGTTCCTTTGCCTGAAGCAATGTTTTCCTCCTCCTTTACCTCATTCTTACTCATCCTTTGGATATCATCTTAAATTTCAGAAGTTGAAAATGCACTTAATACACCTACCCTACTGAACATTAGAGCTTAGTTTAACCTACCTTCAACCTGTTCAGAACACTTACATTAGCCTACAGTTAGTTGGGCAAAATTATATAACACAAAGTCTATAATAAAGAATAAGATATTGAATATGTTATATTCACTATGTAATTTCCTGAATATTATACTGAAAGTGAAAAGCAATGGTTTTGCACCATCATGAAGTCAAAAAATCATGTCATGGACTTTCTGTAGTTCTCAAGAGAAATTGGCAGCACCATTTGTCACACAGAGTTCACCCTAAATTCACTTGGTAATTTTAGTGACCCTCTGCTAGTTAGTTGCTTTGTCCAAGAGAAAAATAAATTTCTTGTATCTTTATGACAGAAGGTAGCTTTGTGATGGAGCAAGGTGCCTACTAAAGTTAGGCTTTTATGTTTCCAGGAAGCTGAAAGATAGGGCTACTATTTTTCTCAATGATTAAATTTCAGTGAGACAGCTCCCAGGTCCTTGAGGAATTCACATTCTTAGGTTGTAAAATTGGCAAAAGCCTAATTTAGTTTTTGGGAAGATTTACAGACATTTCAAAGAGGCACAGAAAAAGCTTACAATTAAGTTTCCTAAAGTAAATGACCAAAGAAAAGGATGTGGAGGGTAAAAGTCTCTCTCTCCTTTGCACCAGGCAGAATTAAATAGTTTTGTTTCTAATTTTTACTCACCGTTACACCAACAGTGTCAGCATCATCTAGGAACTTTTGTTAGAGATGCAAATCCTCAGATCACAATGTAGACTTACTCGATAAGAAACTCTGGGGACAGGGCTCAGAAATTTGAGTTTTTACATAAGCTCCCTAGGTGATGCTGAGAATCACTGTAGAGGATTTTTGATAGTAGGCCATGTGCAAAGCATCTGGGGAAGGCAAAGGATTTAATTTTGCTTTTTTTTTTTTGGTAGTTTTTCAAATTTGTTTTTTAATTTGTAGTTATCTGAGGTTTGCATAAGTAGTTATCTGGTCTGCTAGTATGTTACCTTCAATTAATTGGCAAGAAATTAGGATATCAAAAATAAAGATATTAGATGAGCCTTAGTTTAGCCAAGACAGTCAAACCTCCATCATTTACACAATAGAGAACTAAAACAAAATGATTATTTTTAAACTGTGCTAATTTGGCTCTAGAGTTCATTCCCTAATTTACAAAGAGTCACCTGATCAAAATCATTAGAAAATCATTTGATTACTAAATCAAGTAAAGCCATAAAAGCCAAACCCAAGTGAAACTAGATAATTGTGCAATTTTCTTAGATGGACTCCTTAAGTTCATCTGGCTCTCTACTGGGGACCAAATCTTGTATTTCTCAATTATGTATGCAAACCGGAATCACCTGAAGATATGTTTAAAGACAAAAATTGCAGCAGAGAAGCTGAGAGTAGCCAGGGAAGGGGTACAGTGGATTCTTCCAGCGCATGAGTTCACGACTGCTTCCTCTTCTCAATAGGGGCCAGAGCCTGCCAGGACCTCAAAGAGGAGAGCTTCAGAGGCCCAGCTGACATACTAGACATAGGGGCCAAAGGGTCTACCTTGAGAAAGGTTTTTATATCTCAAATGTGACCCACTCTTGAATGACAGCTCTAAGAAACTGATTTCTCAGGCAACTGAGACAAACAGCATTTGTGATGCTACCACGCCTTCCTTAGGAAGTTGGCTTGAAGCAAAGCTGGTGGAATCTGATTTCCAGCGACTCCGGGTGTTCCTGTGATAGGACCTCCCTCATGTGTCCATTGGCCCCATTGTGGATATGCTGCAGTTTGGCCAGAAAGACCTGGATGTGGAGGTTAAAGTCACACAAATGGATAATCTGGAATTAAAAAGCATGGGGAGCTTTCCATGAAAAATGTCTGGAGATGGGGAAAATCATGAATGGGACTGTACCCCAGGTGATGGAGGTGGCTCAGAAACAGAGGAAGCTTGCCAAAGCTGAAATCCAGAAGGTTCTGAAAAAAAAAAATCACGATCAACTTACTAGACATGAACTCCATGAAAACAAAAAATCTCATCTTTTCAAGGGATTTGAGAAGCAGGAAGCTAGTGAAGGCTACTGCAAAAATGAATAATGGCTAAAATTATTATGCTGAGCATTACATATTAAGAATTAAAAAGGAAGACCAGGCCGGGCGCGGTGGCTCAAGCCTGTAATCCCAGCATTTTGGGAGGCCGAGACGGGTGGATCACGAGGTCAGGAGATCGAGAGCATCCTGGCGAACACGGTGAAACCCCATCTCTACTAAAAAATACAAAAAACTAGCCGGGCGAGATGGCGGGCGCCTGTAATCCCAGTTACTTGGGAGGCTGAGGCAGGAGAATGGCGTAAACCCCAGAGGCGGAGCTTGCAGTGAGCTGAGATCCGGCCACTGCACTCCAGCCCAGGCGACAGAGCGAGACTTCGTCTCAAAAAAAAAAAAAAGGAAGGCCACAGATACCAAGCATTAAAAGCCCACACATTAAAATATAAACAGGTATGGATCCGTTCCCTTGAGAGCATTCAGCAGAAAATAAAAGACTAAAGGAAATGATAAACTGATCAAAATCTGTAATTACCTGTTTTCAGAAGTATAAAAACCTAAAGTCACTGACCAGTGACCTTCTGTCCCTCCATATAACTCCGTATCTATAAGCAAGCCTTGTGTACCTTCTCAAAAAAACAAACAAAAGACATCTGTATGAGATACTGACTTTCATGTTCTTACTTATAAAATGGTGAAGATCTTTCATTAGAAAATCCTTGTATTCTATCAAATGTATGCTCTTGTGAGGTTTATTGAAAAACATTTTTTTTTTTTTTTTGGTGGTGGTATCCTGTAGGTTTTTTACTATGGGAAAAAAACGCTGCTTTGAAACTGTCAGCAAATAGGATCAAGACTCAATTTAAAAACAGGACTCAAGTGTTGTCCATATAAGGTCAAGTTAATGGGGAGTTCCTCAGGAACTTTTGTAATACTAACTGGCAATACCATAACTGCTACAACATGTCTTTATTTCGTCTTTGAAAAACAGTGTTTTTCCCCATCGTCTTTAGGTAGATAAACTGTCCACGAAGGGAAGAGTGATCAGTTTATCTTAACATAAAGATTTCTAACTAGGAATTCAAGACGATATTTCAGTGGGACGATATCGATCATCAGAATGACAAACCCATGAACATTTTAGGAAAGGAGGTTTCAGATTTTTCTCTTTCGAGGGTTTCAAGAAACCCCTTGAGAGGAGAGCACATACCCTCTTCTTACCTTCTTTGTTCCCATGAGAGACTCAAAGAATTGTGAACCAAACTTTAGTAATATAATGTCTCTAATTACATGAGAAAACTGCAGCCCAAAAATGTAAAGTGGCTTACCCAAAGCGAGGAAGTTAATACTATTCCTTTTAGTACAAGAGAATAATGCCAACTAGACATAGCTCAAAGACTGCACCATTCCCATTATTTTTTGCCATTAGTTATGTTTAATTTTAAATATACCAACTTTGGCAGCGAACATCAAAACTGCTCAAGCTGGGCTTTCTGTCTCCTTTCTAAATTGCATATATTAACATATATTAATACTTTAAAACTGTGGGGTGGAAAGTTTAAAATGCCGTAAGAATCATACATGCATTCTTTACACTCTAAAGCACTTTACATTAGAATCTGTATTCAGAATTCTTTCTCAGAACGTAAGTGTTCTTGAAAACATACATATTTCTCTTAATCTGTTTCTTCCAAGGACTACTGTATTGGGCATATGGTAAAGATACAGATTCAAGTTTTAAAAGTACTTTTTCCTGGTAGTGGCTAGGGCCTGGGTTCCTCAGACCAAAAGGCGCAAACTGACACTGCTGTGATTTCAGGAGAGAAGTGAAATGTATAAAACGAAGCAGTTTTGGGGAAGGAAAATGTCACAATTTTTCATCAGTGTTCTCTGGAACACTAACCCGGAAGCTGTCTCTGGGCCTCAACTATCCAAATCAGTGTCCGAGCTGTGCCAAATGCAAGCCCTTCCAAGTTTGACCCTGATTCTCAAAGGTGGTCAAAAGCCGTCTCTAGAAACGGCGGTGGCAGCGGCGTGATTCCGGGAGGTCCATTCAATTTTTAACAGGTCCTGGGCAGTGGCCGGGTTGCTGGGCAGTGCAAAGCCATAGAGACTGGCGAGAACAGGCGGCGATCAAGCTTCCCAGCGAGGGTCAGAGTCCAGCAGCTTGGAACTGGTGAGCTGGGCTTGTGGGAGTGAAGTGGCTCGCGCGGGCCCGGGCCGTGGCCGCTCCCCGGACCCTGGGGATCCAGCCCGACTCTTTCCTACCTATAATGGCCAAGGCCCGCTACAGCGCGTCCCCGAAGCCCTCGTACGGAGCCAGGAGGGGGCTCTCCCTCTCGATGTACGGGACTACCCACTGCTCTGCCAGCCGGTGAGGCAGCCAATTAAGAAAGCCGCCTTCAGGATGTCTAGCCTCGAAGAAAGTCATGTAAGAGAACGCCTGCATCAAAAAGTTGGGAGGCAGGGCAGAGTCGCCGTTAAACGTCTCGGGAAAGCCCCCAGGTGGGCCGGCGAACGTCCCCGGCCCAGCAGGTAGGCTTTCTTGCACAGCAGCCGCCGGACCCGGTCCGCGAGCTCGTTGTTCTCCCTGCGCTGGGCATGGTTCTGGGTCAGCAGGTCCCGCATCATGACAGCCAACGCGTCCATCCCGCCCCGCACCGCAGGCCTCGCTCCCCGCCCGCTCCTTCCCGGCCGCGGTGTTGCCGGAAGTGCCTGTCAGCGCGGGGGCGGATCCCGGTGGCGGCGAGGGACGGACTCTGCGGACAAGGCCAGGCCTAGCTTCGAGCGCCGTCGGGCGGGTGTGCCGGGATTGGATTAGTAGCCAGGAGAACGAGAGCCCAGCGGGCTGGAGTCGGCCAGCGGGAGTGAAAGGAGAAAAGCTAGGGAGCGAAGGCAAAGCCGGAAGAGAGAGGGCCGCACTCGGCGTAGGAATCTGCCTTTGCGGTTGCGTGCGCTCACTTCCGGAGGGCTCCCTCCGCGGGGCGGGCCCGCAGGTGGTTAAAGGCAAAGCATTCCCCTGCGCTGTGCATGAAGTTGGCTTTCTCCCCGCTAGGCCCCGCTCTCTTCCCCAAAATACCTCCTAGTCGTATGTTTCCATAGCCCCAGTTCTTACCTGTTTTGCCCAAGGTCTCATAGCTACAAGAAGGCAATTTCTAACGAAGCCCTCCGTGCCTTCCAAATGGATTATTTTGGCCGCGTTCCACCCGGACAGGATGCCCACCGAATGGCTGGACCAGTGCACGGGAGCGGCTGTCATTTGCGGAGTGCCCCCTTGCGAGCTAGGCGCCTCACAGCGCAAATTATCCAGTCATTTGTTTGAAATCGATGCTGGTTTGTTTTCCGAAGGCAAATCAGCAGCTTATACAGACACTGGGGCCAGCAAGCCGGTGGAACAATGGGAGACAGCTTGCTGAGTGTCAGGTCTTCCAAGATGAGCTTAAACTTCGGGTGGTGGGCAGACTCGGTAGGTGGCAAAGGCCCGTGTCCAGATGAATGCAGTCCACGTTTGTATTGATGAAAGGCATGCATACCATTTGGTCCAGCTCAGCCACTCTTACAGGTGCTGGCTGTGAGCACTGGTGTGTGTGTGCCTGCGTGCAACCAGCAATGTGGGTGATGAGCAGCTGCGTGATACCTTAATTTGAGTGGACAAAGTCTGTCAAGAACCACTTTCAGGCTTCCAAGTGTTTGTCTCCCTGGATCCAAACGAGGCATTCCGAGGTTGACAGCATGGATCATTGCATGTCAGAAATACCCACGGTGAAACTGGGTAAGAAGCTTCAGGAGGTGACATTGATGTGTACAGTTTAGGAAATAAAACCCAACACTTACTTCAAAGAATGTAATTTGTGGCTTTTTAGAGACAAGGATACTTTGACAGAAGTTTTCATTTGTCGTTTACATGTATGTGGTACGTTTCATTCTGACTTTTAATTAATTTATTTTACTATGGAAACAACTTTGTATTAATAAAATAATGTATTTCCAATGTTATAAATTGTGTTATAACAGTTTCAAAAGCCCAATAAACAAGATGCATTTTGATATCAATTATTTAAAACGTGTATTTTGAAAAAGAACAAAGTCATACGCAAAAAAGTAGTTATCTTTGGGTGGGGGATTGTGGAAAATTTTTACTTTACACATTTCTAGGTTTTTGAAGTGACTGTATTCGTTTTATAATTATAGAAACAAGACATTAAATCCAGAAAACAAAATTTAAGCTTAACCAACTAGAAACTGTCAACCAACTTCTCACTAGGGACCTTCCAATTTAACCAAATATTTTATTTGTTTTGTGTCTGCAAACACCTTACAAAAGTCTTCCCTTTCTGCCTCCACAATGGAGCACTGAACTGCTTGTGGTGTAGTGCTGACTGATTCATGAATCACTAGATGCTCAAATAAACTCTTTAAATTAAAAAAGACATTAAATGAAAGAAAAACTTAAGAAAATAGAAATGCTTTCAATTTTTTAACAAATGCTTAAACGGGAGAAAGGATGCATGCAGAGGTTAAATCAGACTGCGCTTCAGATCCGAGGCTCAATCTGAAGAACATGTAGTATATGCTTGTTCCTTTATAGCTAGATGTTATTTTCTTTGCTGAGGAAAAAGGAACATGTCATTACATTCAACTCTTCTAAAAAAAGGAAAGCCATCTACCGAGTCAGTATAATTTATGGAATTTATCTCAAGCTAAAGGTAGTATCAAAATGCCATTTAAAGTTTCAAAGCCAAAATGAACTCTTACTTTGTCCTTTATAATTTATATGAATTTTATGAACCCAAATACAAGACTAGGCAGTCGTGCTCAAAACACTCAGGATGTGCCTGCCGTTGACTAATGATAGCTACATATATTATTTTGTAGGTATATATTAGAAAATAAAATTTTAAAACAACATGTTGCCAGATATATGACAGATCTTCAATAGATATGCAATGTTTGTTTTTAAGTAATGAAACATAATCAAACACTCCTGAATATATGACCTATATGAAGACCTAGATTGTTGAACTTACTGTTACTCCCCTATCCCATCTTTACAGAGTTAACCACTATCCTGAGATTTGGGTTAACCATTATCATGTCTGTTTTATTTTTTAAGTGTAGTTTTATATCTGTTGATCAAGATACATACTTTTAAAAGTATGGTTTACATATAAATATAGCACACACACATAGGTGTGCTTAATGTTGCTTATTTCTGAGCTTTATAAAACTATGACTTTAAGATTTCTGCAGCTTGCTTCACTAATTCAAGATTGTTTCTATCATTCCTCCAAGTTGTGCCATGTAGAATTAGTTCATTTCTTCTCACTGATATATACTACTGTGAATATACCATAGTTTATGTGCCTGTTTTCCTGGTGTTTGTACTGTCTTTAACCTTTTACTATTACAATAATATGATTATTCTTTATATGTCTCCTGGTGCACGTGTTAAGAATTTCTGTAGGGCATATATTTAGGAGTGGAACTGCTGGGTTAGAGGGCATGTGGCGATGCTACAGTGCTGTCTAAAATAGTTGTAGGAGTTTATACTTTTACCAACACTTGGTATTTTCAGAACTCTTAAATTTGCCAATCTAGTAGGAATACAGCTATATCTAATGAGTTGTTTTAATTTGTACTTCCTTGATTATTAGTGTGGCTGAGCAGCTTTTCATATGTCTTCATGTACTTCTTTTTTGTGCCATGCTTGTTCATGCATTTTATCTGTTTCATGGAGGTTTTTTCCCCCAATCCATTTTCAAGAGTTCTTGGACGTATCTTGGACATGAAACTTTTGTCAGTTATATGCACTGAATATATGTTCTCCAAGGTTGTGGCTTTCCTTTCATATCTTTTGATGAGTAGAAATTACTTTGATTTAGTTGTATTTATCTATCTTCTCTTGTGTTTACCATTTTTAAAATGCCTTTAAACTCTTCCAACCTCAAAGTAAAAAAAAAAAAAAAATTCTGCATTTTTTTAAAAGTTTTAAAGTATTGCCTTTTTATTTTAAGTCTTGGAATTAACATTTTGTGAGATCAGATCCAATTATTTTTTTTTCTTCTTATTTATTTTTGGAGACAGTGTCTCACTCTGTCACCTAGGCTGGAGGGCAATGATGTGACCATGGCTTAATGCAGCCTTGACCTCTCAGGCTCAAATGATCCTGCCACCTCAGCCTCCCAAGTAGCTGGGACTACAAGCATGTGCCACCACATCCAGATAATTTTTTCATTTGTGGAGACAGGGGTCTCACTATGTTGCCACGGCTGGTCTTGAATTCCTGGGTTCAAGTAATCCTCCCACCTTTGTCTTCCAAAGTGTTGGGATTACAAGCATAAACCACCATGCCCCACCCAATTATTTTTTCCTTATGACTGAACATTTGTTCCAAGAATACTTACTAGTCTCTTCTTTACTCATTGATTGCTATGCCATCTTTCTCATGTATCAAGTTTCTATGTATGTGTGATTCTGAGGTTTCTATTCTGTTCTATTTATTTGCTTGTATTTCTATAAATACCAGGTTGTCTTAATTTATAGAGCTTTATGATAAATTAAGCAGAACAGTCTTCTGTCTTATTTGTCTCTTCAGGAGTGTCTTGGCTATTCTCAGGTCTTTGTTCTTCCATATACATTTTAGAATCAACTTGTTGAACTATTAGTCTAATTGTTTTATCCCCTTGCCTTTAAAAAAATATTTTCCTTGCCTTTGGGCTAAGTTACACTACAAAGTGTCTAGAAGAGGATTTATTTGTATTTAGCTTGTTTAGTACATTTGTGTTTCCTGTATCTGTGGGTTTATGACTTTGCTTCTGAAAATATCCCAGCTGTTATATCTTCAAACGTAGCTTCTCTTTCATTCTTTCTATTTTCTCTGGCTGAAGCTCATATTAGCAGTACATTAGATCTTATTATTATTCCAGTCTGTCTTTGTGTTAATCTCCCACAGTTACTGGATCCTTATCTCTCTGCTGCTTTTGGATAAATTATTTGAGCTATCTTTCATTTTGGTGATATTATCTACAGTTGCTTTAAATTTGCTGTTTGACCTATACATTGCATTCTTAATTTCAATAGTTATGTTTTTTATTTCTAGAAGCTTATGTATTTATTTTTAAAGTAAGTCTATCTGTTTTGTTAATCCTATGTCTCTTGCTCATTTATTTTTTTTCATTTTATTAAACTTTTCACAGATAGTTATTTTATATTCTGCATCTGTTCATTCTGAATCCTTGAGAATCAAAATCTATTGTTTCTGATGGCTCTCATAATGGCATGTTTCTTTGTGTGTATCACGAGTTTATATATATAAACAATTGTCTACTAAGTCTTTCACTAATATGGTATACACAAGTTATAATGATCAGCCATCCTCAGTTGCCTGGTCCATGTCACAGTTATTAAGTGGTAGAGCTCAGAATTAAATTCAGGTCCATCTGACTTCAAAAACAATTTTTACTCTCTTGGCCTTAGCACCATCTTCTTGAAAACCTCTGCACATGAGAGCCAAGTGGAGAAAAAAGTGAATGCAGAGGCTGAAACACAAAAGAAGAAAGGTGAGGCAGAGGTCCAAGTAAACTGCTAGCTTGTGTACCCGTGGAGGCCACAGCAGCAGAAACATGGAATGCCAGAGGCTGGGGATGCTGGCACAAGTTGTTGGACTGCATGCTACTGTCTAGAGCTTGTCTCAATGGATCTAGAACTTTCATTGCCATCTGATTGCTGAGACCACCTCTGAGACCCACCTTGCTCATAATCAAAACTGTCCGTCTTGGTCCTTTGCCCTGAACTGTGACATTCGGTACTACTTCTGTATTCACTTGTGGCCGAGTGTAACAACCATACAATAAATCACCTCTTCCGCTGCGTTAGCCAAAGAATTAGGAAAAAAAAAGAATACTTACCCAGGTGTCCCAAGGGCAAGCTTGCAACCTCCTTATAGGGCCACGCTGATATACTCTTGAAAGCACTACCTCCTGGCTGGAGGCCAACCAACACAAAACCAGTGCACTCAACAAAATCACAACCAAAGACCCTCATGGAGTCCACCTCACTCCCCTCTTACCTCTACCAGAGCAGGTGCTGGCATCCACAGCTGCAGGACCTGAAATTGGATCACATCACAGGCCTCTGCAGACATTCCCCAGTACCAGCCTGGAGCCTGGTAGCTCTGCTGGGTGGCTAGACCCAGAAGAGAAAAAAAATAGTCACTGCAGTTCGACTCTCAGGAAGTCCATTTCTAGGGGAAGCAGGAGAATACCACATCAAGGGAGCTCTTCATGGGACAAAAGAATCTGAATCAGCCCTGAATCCCAGATCTTCCCTCTAATATAGTCTACCCAAATGAGAAGGAACCAGAAAAACAATTATGGTAATATGACAAAACAAGGGTTTTTTTTGTTGTTGTTTGTTTTTTTACCATCCCCAAAACATCATACCAACTCACCAGCATGGATCCAAACCAAGACTAAACCTCTTAATTGCCAGAAAAAGAATTCAGAGGGTCGATTATTAAGCTAATTAAGGAG